AGCTGAAAAATCAGGACATGATTTCTAAACTGCCACCACTCCCTTATTTTCAGGCCCACCTACACAAATCTTATATCAAACGTTCAGCTATCCCTGCTGCCACTAAACATGTCAACGGCTAAGCCATAGTCCTGATAGTTTTCACAATATAATCATTTGTTTGCAACTAACGCCATCCATTGACTTTCATTGAAACTTCACTCTGCAAAGCTCACATTTGAAGTGCAATTTCTAAACTGCGACTGTGCCTTCAATTTTAATACTTCAGAGACATACTATGCATCAAAATGTAGGTCTGGGTCTTGTGATTCTCACAATATAAAGCTCTTCACTGTAGGAGTTATAGTTTTTAAGATACGACCGTTAGAAGATGGCAACCGCCAAAATATTCTGACCTGTGTCAAGCTGCAGCAGCAAGTGATGTCATAGACAGGGCCTTTTGAACACCTGCTAATGTTTTTATAAATGTATGGTTTAATGTAACTGTGCAACAACGTTGCAATTAAATGTGCTATATAAATGATAACAGTTACTCCGCCCACTCCAGTTGTAGACTCCTGTTGGAGGCAAGAACACTTCACACAATTTCCCCAGAAATTGTAGCTTTTCTAGTTATTATTATTATTCTTATTATAGCAAAATTTGCCACCCTAACTCCTCCCACAGTTTTTACACTACATAGACAAAAATTTACCAAAACGTGCAGATTGTTCCCGATCGGATTGCTATTACTTTGTGGAACGTTTCGCCGAATGGTTCACAGAATATCGTCGTTCTTGTGGCGAAATTGTTCCCATAGGAATGAATGGCAAAATGTTCAAAACTAGAGTTTTGAAAAATCAGGACATGATTTCTAAACTGCCACCACTCCCTCATTTTCAAGCCCACCTACACAAATCTTATATCAAAACGTTCACCTATCCCAGCTGCCGCTAAACATGGCTAAGCCATAGTCCTGATAGTTTTCACAATATGACCATTTGTTTGCAACTCACGCCGTCCCTTGACATTCATCGAAACTCCACTCTAGCCAGCTCAAATTTGAAGGGCAATTTCTAAACTGCAACTGTGCCTTCATTTTTAATATTTCAGAGACATACTATGCATAAAAATGTAGGTCTGGGTCTTGTGATTCTCACAATATAAAGCTCTTTGCTGTAGGATTTATAGTTTTTAAAATACGACCGTTTGAAGATGGCAACCGCCAAAATACTCTGACCTGTGCCAGGCTGGAGCAGCAAGTGATGTCATAGACAGGGCCTTTTGTACACCTGCTAATGTTTTTATAAATGTATGTTTTAATGTAACTGTGAAGCACTTTGGGCAACAACATTGCAATTAAATGTGCTATATAAAGAAATAAAAGTTGAAATGCATTTCTCACTCTATCAAGCTTGCCATGTGCACTTTTTAAATTTTAACAATCATCTGGTTAGTGTAATGTTTACTATCTTTACTCACTCCAAACACTCCACACAGTTACTCTGCCCAGTCCAACCTTTCCAAGCCCCTCCAACCACACAACAGTTACTCAAGCTACTCCACCCGGTTCCTCCACCCACTCCAGTTGTAGACTACTGATGGAGGCAAGAACACTTCACACAATTTCCCCAGAAATTGTAGCTTTTCTAGTTATTATAGATCTTCATCTGATCTACTTATCCTGGTCTACATTACCAGGTGATTTTCTTATTTTTACCCATCTTAAATATCTTGTCATGTTCCTGAGCAGGTCAGAGAGGAGACGATTGCCATGGTTATTGGTTGAAACTTTATTTGTCTTTTTAGACATAACAATTTACTGGAAAGAAATAATTAAGGCAATATGCCACAAAAAAAGGATACTTTGAAAGTAAAACAGATTAAAGGCAATATGCCACAAACAGGATATCTTGAAAGTAAATGAATAAAGTATTTTATATACAAGTAGGTTTGACGTTATTCCCAAGTAGATTGCTAATCTGTGGAATGTCACACTATAGCCAGGTTCAGGATGATACAGGGTTGAAATGGTTAAAGCTGGTAAGTACTTTCAGTATAATATAGTACAGGTTGCTTACAGGATTATGCAGAGTTGCAGTAGTTGTAACAGGGAAATAGATTCCAGTATAATGTAATACAGGTTGCTTACAGGATCATGCAGTGTTGCAGCAGTTGAAACAGGTAAGTAGATTCAATATGGTAGATCAAGCAGGTAAGTCACTTCAGATTGAAATAATGTAGATAAATACAGGATGTTTTCAGGAGCCAGGATCAGAAGTTCTATGTCAGAACACTGGCTTCAATGTAAAGGCCATGTGAAGAGTTGGGTGTGGCCTTTTATAGCAGACTTGGAAGATCATATGAGGCAGGTGAGAGCAACTGAGGATTGACTAGTGGCAAGGGAGGCCACTAGAGGCGAGAAACAGGAAATGCAGCAATAAAATAAAACAATTTCTTGGTTGTCTGGATAGGATTCTGACATATGTTGTGCAATTGGGCATCTGTATATTATTTATTATATGTAGGATATAATGACCCTAGAAAAAGTGCAGAGGTGGGCTACAAAATTAATAAAAGGAATAGAGCATTTTAGCTATGAAGAAAGTTTAACAAAATATAGGGTAATAGCTGCTTGATCCAAGGATAAATCGGGCTGCCATTCTGGGGTCAAAAAAGCATTTTATTTCTAGTTTGTTGCAATGTTGGAAGTGCTTCAAACTGGATTTTTTTGCCTTCTTTTTGATCAACAACAAAAACCAGACTATGGTTCTTGAGCCTATGTAACCCATTTTCTATTTTCTATTTGTTTTGCTGGAATGGCAATGTTTACATTGCATGGTTAAAATTGTTCTAGTGTCTATCATACTGACCGCTACTCGAGTCGCTTCAGATACCATCTTGGATCTGCCGTGAGACCTTATCATGGTAAGGTAATAAGATTCTGTATGCCTCTTGATGTTTAGGTAGCTTTTCTTTGGTGTAGATTGTGATACCTCCTAGTGGTCAAGAGGGGGAGAGAACCGCTGTAATCTTTAAAAACTGCTGAGAGATCAGTTGTTTCTTCTTACAAAGGATCACTCCAAGCATCTTGGCCACAAATCCATGTAGGGCCATAGGTGGTGCAAGAATGCTTTAAACTGTTGTAGAAGAGCACCACAGTAGACAAGAGCAGGTAAGTATGTGGTAGACCTACTTCTGAAGGTAGATTTGGAGCAGAAAGTCAAGATTTCCCACCTGTATGTGAGAAGCCCACTTAATGCCCATCTATCCACCATGCTGGCCAGGCTTTGTTGTGGTCATTGCTTAAATATGAATATTAATCTTTTAATTAATATACATTAATGAAGCAATAAGTTGCAACATTAAATTTTTTTTACATTTATAGGTATTCTGGTCGAATATATGAATAGAATATACATAAAACGTAATATCTAATGCCAATTTACTACTGTAATTATAGCAAGTAACAGGCTATAACAAATGATAGCAATAACAATGAATAATAATTCAATGCAGAACATGAACAAACTACAACCTATTACTTACAAATGTCCCCAGCCCTTCCCTTGCACTAAAGAGTTAGAGCTGACGTGAGGCAGGGAAGTTTAAAATTCAGGCTTGCTTATTGCATCTGGATCAGCTGAAGGTGGACTAAGTGCTGTTCTCATGTGGGGGCAGGGAAGTTTAAATTCAGTTTAAAATTTTAAAAAATTCACATAAAGAGAGAGCGAGTCTGAATATCTATTGCTTCTGCTTTTTATTGCCAGTGAAATGATTTATGGGAGGTAACTTCCCTATAGTAGGATGGCCTATGATGTCACTGCCTGCCATCATCAATGATGGCTGCAGTGAATTTGCTGTGTCAATGGAGGATCACACAGTCTTGCGAGATTCTCCATAGACCTAAATTCTGTACTCTCACACATGCAAGATAGTAAAGCAGTGACATCTGCTCCTGGCCCAGAAGTTCTAGGGGTTGAAGAGGAGTAGAATGATTAAATTTGTGGCGCCTGTGATGGACAGGTATAGGATGGTAATTTCACCCTTACCTGCCCCCCATGGCCACCGAACCATCAGCGGCCATGTCAGTGTCGGGGTCTTTGCAAATTCAGCAAGGGCCCCTGAACGTAACAGCGCTGTTTTAAATTGCACCCTTGAACTTTAGCTGATGGCTAACATACTTGTCATAAATGGTAATGCAAATATACAGATGTTAGCATGTTAGCATGGTTGGAACAGTATGCATGCACAGTATCAAATAAGATTACGCTGTACCAGTCAAGGATGCAGCCAGAGATTAGTCAGGAATAGACCTGGTGAGCAACAAATATCAATCTGGAACAGGCTGTAAAATAGTATGTGTTATCAAGGACGAACTGGGATATACATTGAATCACTCATGGGTATTTGAATTGGCTTTAGTAAATTTGAGTCTTAACCTCTAGATTATCAGGGTACATCAGTGTATGGAATAGCCTGCCTACCACCAGATTCTCCCCTAGTCTTCAATCATTTAAGAAGTGCCTTAAAACTATTTTCTTTAGTAAAGCCTATGGCCTCCCAGACTAACCTCTACCTCACATACCTGCCTCTTGCCCTCTCTGAAAGGGCAGCACTCTACTCTCTCCTCCAGCTCTGCTCCACTCCCACCTAATTTGACTCATATTTCCTGTCCTAATGTGTTTTATACCCCACCTCCTATCGACCTTAAGCTCATTTGAGCAGTGCCCTCTTCAACCCTTCGTTTCTGTAAGTTTTCTTGTAATTGTCCTATTTATAGTCAAATCCCCCCTCTAATAATATTGTAAAGTGCTACGGAATCTGTTGGCGCTATATAAATCATAATAATAATAAATTTTAGTTGGGTAAAACGGGGTTTAGGATGGTAGAAATAAATTAATATGGGTAAGGGTTTGGTAAACCAATTGACATGGACATATGGGCTGAAAGCAAAAGAACATACACCATGTCATTGTAAGAAATGCAGTCCTCTAGAATGCATATAACTTGCAGTATTTATGAGTGCAATATGTTCTCTTAAAATGTATTGTGTATTTTATGCTATACTCTCAAGCAACATAGCATATGTAATGATCCTTGTCTATTTTTGTACATCAGAACATATGTGTTTGTGACCCGCTGTTGTGCAGTGTAATCTATTTGATTTTCTGTGTACCTGCACAGCATGTGTTGATCAGGTATTTGTTCTCTGCAATTCAATATACCTGACTTTCTTCCTAGCCATAGATGTGGGGTCAGTTAGTTTTCACAGCTTTTTGTATGAAATTTATATTCTCCATATTTACAGTCATTGTGATAATCTTCAACTTCTGGCCCAATTATGGCTGTAATAACTTGCTTACATCTCTCAGAATTCAACACGGTGAGTAGGTATATTAAAATATTATATATTAAGCCATTGCTACTTTATCAGCCCGCAGAGAGCATTAGTAGAAAAGAAAAAAAAAAAATAAAGTTTAATAATTAGTAATAATATATTGTAAAGTTTTGTGTGCTGTATTCTAGGTACCGCTTATGAATTAAAATGCTTTTTTTTTCTGTCAGATGTGCAAACCTCTCACACAATGTTTCTAATAGACATATTTTAAACTTTATGTTAAACACTTTAATGAATGATTAAGGAACTGCAATCTTTTGACCTTTTTGTTGTCCAGGCGGGAATATTGTCAGATCAGCATAGGGCAGCTAGTCCATAAAATAAACACAAAAGACACAAATAAAAAACAAAAACACA